GACTTTTTTTCAGCGTATCAAAAACATTTTTTTTTAATTCATAAAAATCGAACACAATATTAAGAAAGTTTATGACACTCACAGACTTTGTTCAGCCAATAGATTTATACTCACATGATATCAAATTTAATGTTAATTATAGTATGAAAATAAAATCACTGTACTTATGATTTTATATATGATTTTATAGTCAGACTCAAACTCTAATATAGAAAAAATTAATCTTTTAAATGGATCTTAATACATGAAACAAGTATTCTTTGGTTTTACAAGAAGAAGTCTTTTAGTTTCATTAAAAAATAATCAATAAAAAGAACAATGTTTACTTTTATGATAATTACTATAGGGAAAATAACTTATACTAACATATGGTTTGTTTTTATCTAAAAAATAATTTATTTATAAATATTTAGTTAATATGGTTAAAATTTAAATACTTATACATAGATATTTGTATAAAACTTAAAAAAATTGTTATATAACTCACATAATGGATAGTTAAATTCACTATAGATAAATCTTAAATAGAGATTCTCTTGCAAACTTTCAACTTTTGCAATTTTTGTTTATCATTAAGAGGATGTTTGGTATAAGAATTTTTTTTTTCCTAAAAATGTTGTTTGAAATGTGGTTTTTTATTTAATAAATAACATTCATAAATAATATTATTTTTCAATATAACATTTTTCACACAGGTTTTTCACGCAATTTTTCTCGTGACAAAAGGTGAGAAATATTAGCATTCTCATGTTAAAAGAAAAACTTTGATGCGATAAAAAATCTCATTATTTTTTATCTATTTAATGCAATAAAATTTTTAATTTTTTAATAACAATTATAAATATTTCTAAAATTATTTATTGCCAACAGGGCAGATGCATGTTGAGGGGTATGGGGTAATTGCCCAAACAAAGTTTTTCTTTCACTTAAATATTTAATAAAAACAAAACTTTACCCATGAAAAATATTATTTTCAAAAAAAAAATTATAAAAAAATGAATGTTGAAAATTACAAGAGATAAGAAAGAGAATAAATTGGCACTAATTTTATCATTTTATCTTTTAATTTTTAGCATTTTTTAATACTAAATAATAAGTCGCATAAATCACAAATACACCTTCATAGAATCTCAAATGAAATAAAATAAAAATAAAAATTTGTCACTCTATTCATGAAAGTTGTAATTTAAAAAAAACATAGGTATTTTAATTTTTTCACAAAAACATATATTTCTATAAAAAGAAAACTTATTATATTTTTAATTTGCAAACATAGTATAGCCTATATTTTTTGTCCTTACTAAAAAAAATTCATGGATCTGCTATTGATGATAACTAAACAGACTTTAATTATTTCTAAAAGAAAATTATGATTTTTGAAATTTATAAATTTTATGAATCATAATTCTTAAGTATAAAACAATTTTTTTGTGTACTAAATGTTCTTTTAAAATCATTTTTTAAGGTGTTAAAAAACTTATTGATATATCAAATAATTTGGACATCAAATAATGAATATCATATATATAATTAATTTGATCTTTCAATCATTTTTTCTTATACATATATTTTCTAATTAAATTTAAAAGTGGTATTAAGTATTATTTATTTGAATTGAATTATAAGTAGTATAGTCCTTTAATTTTATGGATGTTCCTTTCAGGTGGGGCCAATTTGGATGTGTTATGATTGTTTAATGGGCGGTGGTGATTGTTGGTTTTGCACCCACCCATCCCATCCCATCCCAACAAAAGTCTTTGGTTTACCAACTTCTCACAGCTATGATGTTAATGTATCAGAAGGAATTCTGTACCCTATGATCTCATTCACAAGGGATCACTCACCATTGGTATATATTTTGCTACAAAAACAAAATCTCACCTTTTCATTTCAACTCAACTCTCATGCTTGTTATCATTAGTAACAACCAGCTTAGGTCAAGGGTATATATGCTGAATGCTAATCACTGAACATCCAAGGATTGAATTCATGTTTTTGTTTTCATGTTATATACCAAAGAATTAATTTGAGAAAGTTAAATTATATAGATTTTCATCCATTGAATTTGACTTCACTCGTAAAAGTTAATCAAGATCTAAGTAAAAGACTTGCTTTTATTTTTTTAGTTTAATTTATATGCACTATTATATATCAAAGAAACATCTAACTAGGCATATCTATTGATTAGAAATTCACCCAATCCTCACATCACACTAATGAAAAAAAAATGTATGGTAAAGTGATCTAATTCCATTAAATGTTGCTGTAATAACAATTTATAGTAACAATACATATAATTAAATTGTTTATTTTTCTTAAAATGCATAAGCTAACAAAGAAATATATATAGTGAGTCCTTTTCATATGCATATTAGCTACTCTGCCTCCTTTATAAAGACAAGACAAAATAAGAATTGCACCAATATAGTCCTGGTGATAAGCTTTACAGTCAATGTCTTACGGTTGCAGATTTTCAATATATCATTATGTCAAAAATATATATTTTAGAGTCTCCTAGTCTACACTGAAGTAGCAAGAAAAAAAAAAGGAAAAAAAAAGCCTTTATTTTCTAATGTGAAAATTAAATCAAAAGGTGTTTTGTAGTTTCTATCATATATATCATAGAAATAATTCGATGTTAGATTTCTTTTCCATCATAAATTCGGGGTAGTATTACACAAAGTGATAATAATTGAGTTTTTGATATAACTTTGAAATGGTGAATGGTAGACTTTGATTCCCTTATTAGAGGCACAAAGTTAATTAACAACTCATTAACAGCAATCGATCTCCTATTTACCTCTATATTTTTTAGATTTAATTTTTTAGCCTATCCCATTATTACGTCTAATTAATAAAAGAGGATTCATGCAAAAACAACACACACACACACATTGATATATATGCTTCATAAAACCCTATTGCACAACACATAAACATAAACTTGTTTGGATCTTCTGACTTAATAGTTAATTAAAACGAGTGTATGTATAGAGATTACAGAAGAGAGTGGGGTGGATACATGACATTTTGACCATGTTACATATTATGATTTGATGTGAAGAATGTGATAGTGTGTGAGCATATGACAAGGCATAAGGGAGGGAAAGGGAACCAGATGCGTGCCACAAACTTCGGGCAGCAACAAAGGGAAAAAGGAATGTGACGTGAAAACCCACTTACCAACACTTATATAGCCATAGACATAGGCGTGATCAGGAACAGCATAATATATATATTTTTTCTTATATTTCTTATTCAAAGAATAAAATCCCATTAACCACCGAATACATGAATCAATAATTGTGAGATTATTCGACTAATTAACTAATGCTCTTTCAGTTAAATATTTGAAGAGAAATTTTTATCATCTATAATAATTTTATTATCTTTTCATAGAAAACATATGTAATTCATCACAAAAACTAAACACAGATGATAGATAGATAATTGTATTTCTTAAACATACGAACATAATTCAAATTATTTGGTTATACATATATATATGAAAAAGTTTTGTGGGTAAAGACGAACCCATTTCAATTATTTTCAAAACAAAGAAGGAATAAACAAAACATATTAATCATTAAATTTATACTATTTATAAATGACGAATTTGGTGATTCTTTTTACTATATTTTTAATATTATTATATCTAAAGGATACAGATGTATAATAATATAGAAGTAATGAATTTTGTTGCTTAAAAAATAGCGTAGAATTTGCGTGCGTAGGTACGTACAGAAGAATCAACAATAGCAGCAAACGATCTCTGGTACGTGCCACACTGCGGTCAAATGCCGGTGGCCGATGGCGTGACACGTGTAAGCCCAAAATTACAAATACAAAATGCGTATAGTCGGAATTCTTGACTAACCCCACTCCCTTGTTAACAACGTGACTACGACCCCCCATGACACTTCCCTTCTCTCTCAATAAAATATCTTTAACAATGATAGTAATCATAATGTATATCAACACATTTTACTTATATCGTTTTTTTTATGTATCAAATACTAAAAAAAATACCAAGGATCTAATTAATTATCAGGTATATTGTGCCTTGTCGATTTAATAATTCGAGGATCCCCGCAAATAATCAATCACATTATCGTATATATGATCCTACCAAACCACTTACGTGGAGCTCAAATGAACACAAAATGTAAATTTGAGCTTGGGTTTTTAAATTAATTTTTCTTCTTAAAACATTAATTAAGCAATAATTAGCTAATTAAAACCTTTACAAAAGGTATAGCTACCATCGTTGCCTTCTTAACATCAACTATCTTATATTATATAAAAAGAAAAATCTTAGCATGCAAGCATTATTCAACTTGTAATTTATCTTTCTCTTTTGATTAGATTCAAAACGATCAAATAAATTAATAGGCGGGTGCTTTTAGTTAAATGCGAAGTCGCTGTCAACTAAATAGGTAATAAATCTTTCAACCAACTGACTAATAATAATTCTCGAATCAATTGCTTTTTGAGGATTAAAATATTTGCCTCATGTTATTAAACTTTTTTTTTTTTTTTTTTGTATTTCTTTTAACAAATTTACACCCTTTAAGATATGTCAAATTGCATAATACATGAACGAGAAGAAAAAAAAAAAATAACAACAGAGTGATTTACTATTTTTAATATTTGAACTCTCATAATCTTCAAGTCATGACCCATGAGACGACAACTTAACGTTCCGATATACAGCAAAAATATAAAAGAAATTATTTTCCACACTAATTAAAGTGTGTGTTAATTAAACAAGTGAGGCAAACTATGAATAGATGTTGTTTGAGAATATACGGTGTATTAGTATAAGATGAAGAAATTAATCACGCCACGTGCTCAAGCAGGTGTATATATATATAATTAACAATATGTTATTCCTTTATAATAAAAAAGAAATTAATTAAATTGATTTGCTTTAGAAAAAAAACCAACCACACACTGACTTTAGAAAGATTAAGATAGAGAAACACTCCCCAATTAGCTCCAAACACTAAAGTGAGGGTGCAAAAGTAGAAGGAATAAAAGCAAGAAGAAAAACAAAGTTCTAAACCAAAAGCTCCCTTTCCCATAACACATCAAATTTAAGTCTTAGCTCAAATATCATTCTCAAAGCTACCTTTATTTTTTCTGGCTCTTCCTCCTCCAACCTTCTCCTCCCTCTCTTCTCTTCCATGGCAAATGAGAAAGACCATTATTATGACCCTTTTCATTACAACCACTCATCATCAAGCTTTCCATTCTTTAGGGACAACAACTCAACACAAAACTTTCAAGGGTTTGATCACAATAACCCTTCTCCTCACACTACTTTCACTGACTGCTTACATGGTTCCATGGATTACAACACTCTCTCAAGAGCCTTTGACTTGTCTTGCTCATCATCTGAAGTGATCTCCTCCATTGATGAAAACCCCAAGAAGAATCCTAGTGCAGGAGACTCAGCAGTAGGGAACCAATCGACACCCAATTCCTCAGTGTCTTCATCATCTAATGAAGCTGAAGCAGTGATAGAAGAAGACTCAACCAAAAGCCTGAAAAATAAGCAGCCAAAAGGGTGTGATGATGGAGATGAAAAGCCTAAGAAAGAGTAGGTTTAATTGATTTCTTCTTCTTTTGCTTCCTCTTTCTCTGTGATTTCTGATAGATCAATGGAGGGTAAGAAGATTTTTCCTCATAGACTTTCCCTTTTTCTTCCTTTAACAATTCATGAATAGGATCTGATATCTTATTAATTTATATCTGTTCTTTTCTGGAGGTATATAGAATTTTGAATTTTCTCCTTTGGATTAGCACTATTTAAACTAATGCGGTGTCTTTTCAGTTGTTTATGACTTGCAGTGCCTCTTATGAAATGAATTTGGTCAATCTTGTCACTATATATACCCTCTTATACTATACTAGTGTAGGTTTTGTGTGTACTAAAATGGTGGAGTGGAATAATGATAGGCCCTCTTAACCCTAAAATAATTGTTATCGGTTTGGTGAGAACATATTTTGTGGTGAATTTGACTGGTGTTTTGGAGTGTTTCAGGAACAAGGCCAAGAAGAAAGAGAAAAAGCCAAGAGAGCCTCGCTTTGCCTTCTTGACTAAAAGTGAGATCGATCATCTTGAAGATGGATACAGATGGAGAAAATATGGACAGAAAGCAGTCAAGAATAGTCCGTACCCAAGGTTCATTGTTTTCCAATTTTGAAATTTCTTATCTATTACCCTTTCTAACCAAAAATGATGAAGCCTTGTATTTGTATCAGCCCAAAAAAATGATTAAGGGCTGTGGAATTTTGGTGCCAAAATCATCATATATTGACACACAAAGTCTTCTGTTTATTTATTGTCATATCGATGTAATGATTCATATCCTTGTCACATACTAAGGTTTTGTAACGGCTTATTTCTTAGTACTTATTAAGGCTTGTTTTTGTCATCAACTATGTAATCATGAAATTGGAGACATATCGTACAGTAAATATGATCATAAAATTACACTTTTATACATTCAACGATACACAGAAATCATTAGATCACGTCTTGATGACATGATATATCTTTCTCCAATTGCACATTTCACGTGTGAATCTGACATGACTCCTTGTGTATAATGCAGGAGCTATTATAGATGCACCAGTCAGAAGTGTGGTGTGAAGAAAAGGGTGGAGAGGTCATTCCAAGATCCTTCAATTGTGATCACAACATACGAAGGGCAACATAACCATCATTGTCCAGCAACACTCCGAGGCAGTGCTGCAAGCATGTTGTCATCACCTTCCTTTTATGGTTCCTCTTATATGGGATCAACCTTACCCCAAGATTTTCTTTCTCAGTTTCTTCCAAGTTATAGCCAAAATGATCACCAAAATTCAGTCTTCCATCACCAAAACCTTTCCCATAATCTCCATCCACAGCCTCAACAGCAGCAGCAGCAATTCCAACTCTCTCGTGACTATGGTTTGCTGCAAGACCTACTACCATCATTCCAAGGCAAACAAGAGCCATGAACTTGCTAAAGAACTTGGTGCATGTTTGGATTTAATTATTTTAGGAAAAATAATAGTTTTTTTTTACTATTAGAAGTTTTTTTAAGAAAGAAAAACGATTATTTTTTCAAGATAAAAACCAAACATGCACTTACAATTAATCCATTTCTATTAGCATATGGTGGAGCTTACAGTATATCCACACTTGTGTAGTAAGTAGTATCTTCCCTTTAGTTGGTCACTTCCTCTCTTTAAGTCATGTACCTAGCTAGAATTTGTATGGAAAAAATGGAAGACATGTCTATATATGGTAGTAGACGGGAATCTAAGAGCATTATATAGTATTTTAGAATATTACTGCAGATGACATTGATCTTGATTTTTATTCTTAAATATAGTTTGGTAAATTTTGTCAAAAATGTCAGAGATGAACGGCATGTTTTCCATTAATTGAGTACTTTGCAAGTTGCGAATATGTAGCGGAGAAGGATGGTTTGACAAGACGATTAATGTACAAATATGATTGATCCTTCTCAGTGAAAGGTATTGATAGGACTTGGTGATGGTTTCTCGGATCACTAACACAGTTAAAAGAGTGGTCAATGAGTATGCTACTACAAATGGAAGGTTTCAGTAACACGACTAAAATGGCAGCTAATTTATTTCATTAATTAATAACTATTTACATGCTCTTTTTTGCATGGGTATATATAGTACATGTGTGTCTTAAACATTTTGCAGCTTTTATAATACAAATTATTGGGGGATTAATATATTGTTACATGAAATTAAGCTTGTTTGAAGGGGAACCATATATATTTCGGCGTTTCAGTTTATAGTGCATGATTGTATGTGTTTGCGTGTGTAACTATCCTTTTGGCTGTGGACACATACCTAACTTTCAAGATTGATATGATCTTATGGTACTATTATTATTATTGCTCTTTTTTTTTTTTTTTTTGTCCTGAAACCAATTGGAAGAATCAATATTATAGCTCCAGATGATTCAAATGCAAGCTGAAATTAGCAATAAATCTTTCCCACCTAAACCATTTATTTATACATAGGATCTAATAATTCGAAATGAAGTTATTTGGAATGATATATTTTGCTTTAAGAATAATAAACAATTTGTTAGAAATTAATTCAGTGTCTTTAAAAAAAAGTGCATGGTATCACAACTCCTACTTATTAATTAGTTATTATTATATCCATAGGAATTGACAGTTTTATTTCTCCAATATATATTCTTTCCCACATAGAACCTATTTTTGCTCCCAATATTAGGGTGAAAGTGGGAACTAATTAGTTTAATAAAGTTAAGAATTAAAATAGTTATGTTTCATTCATTTATGCAGCTTGCAAATTAACAAGGCTGAGGGTAATAGAGTTTCCTTTTTCTCTCTTGTTTATCTTTCAAACAAGGATGAAAGTAATTTTATTCCATTCTTTTTCCCTCTACTACATTCATAATTTTTATTCATCTAAAAAAATCCAAACATATCATTTAAATTCTTATGACATATACTCAATAATAGCAACGTCCTGCCATCTTCGTATAAGATGACTTTAAAATTATTATACCCATATAGATGATAACATCATAATGATTAGATAAATTACAATATTTTATTTTTATAATTATTAAAGTAATGATTTTCTCTTTTGATTTAAGATTAACATATTTATTCTAATTTTATATGTTTTATTATAATCATGTCATGTATTATATATGTTTAAAATTTATGTATTTTTATATTTTGTTGGAAAATATCGTATTGTCTATCTCAATTCTCTTAACATAGTTTATATATTTGTTGAATAAATTTGCTAGTATTAGTTGATTTGAAGATAGAGTCTAATATGTTTGTATTTTTATTTTTATTTTTTTGTATTTTTGGCTTGTGTTGTGTGTGTACTTGCTGGTTATACTAATAATCTAATTTTTTTCTCGATTTTATTTAGACCCTCATTATATTCAAAATTCACTTGAACTAATTTTTCAATCGATCAGTCAATAATTCACTAGAAGGACAATTTTATTTTATTTATTTTATCTATTTTATCCGTATACAAGAAAACAAGAAAATATATAACTAAAAAGAAAACAAGAAAATATAGGACAATTTTCATTTAAGAAAAATATTTTGCGAGCATCTTTGTTCGCAAATCTTGTTTCTCAAACGTTTGTTTTGTTTTGTTTGTTTGTTTTTCCCTATATTGCAACAAATTTATGCTCTAAAATTTTCAATATTGAGGAGCATTATTAGAAATTAATTAGTATAGTATTTTAGATTTTCAAAACAAATATGATTGGATTAATTTTCCTGTTTAATAAAACTTGTTTCACGAGATGTATTATAATACACGATCGACCTGTATAAATTCATGAGACAAGCCAAAGTTTGCGGTTGAAACAATAACTGAAATGATCACTCTTCCTTTCCAATCACATTTGTTACTTTTTCTCAATTTGTTTTATCTCTTTCTTTCTTTTACCTCATATTACCCCAAACCAAAGGTGTATATGCATTTTTCTTTCTTTATAGGTATCATTAACCTTAACCTTTTCATGTTCATTATTAAACAATTATTTGATGTTTACCAATTACTTTCACAATTAATTTGTACCCCTGTTTAATTGATTACGATAAATTAATGATAATCCAACTAGCCATACAACTATCCAAGTTGAGAATTTTATAAGAAAGAAAGAATGCATTGGAAATGCATGTTAATTATAGAGTACGCGATGTCTAAAAAATTATATATAGTGATTATATATAACTTATAAATGTATGACTATAATAATGTGTATATCTTATTTATTTATTTTCTCCTTAAAAATTAAATGTGTATTTATTTTCATTTATTTTGTCCCTGTGTAACTATTCAAACACGGGCGTAAATGCATGTTTTCCGTAGATAAAATCATACTTAAAATGGAAAAAGCAATTTGGTTAAAATTTCATAGTCCTCTCTCATCTGCCTATCAAGCTGTCTCACTCCTATACTCTTTTGGTGTTGATTATTTTATGTGATGTTGTACTAACTTGTGTTTATAGTTTTATTATTTCAACGTAGAAAAACAAATATTAGATATAATATTATATATATTTATTTTTTATATCTCTTTATTGTCTTTCTCCACACACACACACACATATATATATATATATGGAGAGAGAGAGAGAGGGGAGATATCCACTTACTACAAAAGTAAGTTTACTTGGACTTACTCTACTCAATAATTCAATTTTATTTTATCAAATTTCAACAATCCAATTATTGAATTAAAGGTTCTTAATGGGTAGATCAATTAAACTTGCAATTTAAAAAAAAAATTGAAAACTATTTGATATTTTGTTTCATTAATTCAAATCAACATATAAAATATTTTTATATTTATCCATAAATTTGAATTAATGAAATGGAGTATCAAATAGTTTTTAAATTTTTAAAAAATCTGCATACTTGATCTATGCTTTAAGAACTTTTAAATATATATATATATATATATATGTGTGTGTGTGTTTTTTAAAATGCACCCTAAAATTAAAAGGAAACCTTTTGTTATTTCAAATTTGTATTCAGAAGACATTTTTCTTATATCTAATTCCCTTTTATTAATCAAAGGCACACAAAGTGGTACGTTGTACTTATTTTAATGAAACTACTAATTTTCTATTTAATACTCATATTTGGTCTCTAAAAAAAACTAACTATATATAATCAAAATTGAATCGGTGAACTCATTTAAAAGTTCTCTTAATATAATACATAATTCCCTTGGATATATATATAGGACTTAATTTGACTTAATCTGTTAACTTGTGTTTTAATTTTTTTTATTTTCTATTTTAACTTTTTAATTACAAAATTGATACCTTATTTTTTTTATATTTTTCTTGTTTTCAAAGATATATAAAGAAACAAACAAAAAAAAAAAGTTGATTTTAGTATTTTTGGTACGAATGTTTGAAAATAATCAACAAATTAAAAAAAAAAGTGACAATTTTGTAATCTTACATATATGATTTTGTAATAATCCGATGGGTTTCTACATTTTACAACTCAATATTTATAACAATGAAAAACATAAAATATAACAACCTAGAGTTGACATGCAAACATTTCCTTTATATACATGCAGTAATATATAATATATGTATAAACTTCATTATATTGAAATCATTAGGAAGTCCCTTATTAGGACTACATCTATAAACTATACATATATAAATATATAGTGATCCAAAAATTGAAAATATAAACCTAAGTTGTCAATGAAGTAACAATTACCAAACTAGCTACACCAAGGTAGCCCAAAAGTCAACATCGTCATTCTCCGGTATAACTCCCAAAACATACTCCTCCTCTAGCCTATCTCTGTATACTATTCTTATATCAAGTATATGATCATCACAATTTAACCACAAGAAAATACACGAAGATAAGCTTACCAAAAAAAACATATCAAGTATAAAAGTAAAGTGTAACTATACTACCAACATCAACATATAAACCTCACGACACAACTCATCATGGTTTTAACTTTAACAACATATATAGTACAATTTAACAAGATACTTAATGATTCAACACAACAATACCTCAAACATTCAACAACCTTTTTAAGGCAATGTTAAGTCTCAATTTTACCTCTTTTTGGATGAGACTTATTGAACAAATTCCACTCATCCTTTGAACCATTGCAATATAATTGTTCTCTTTTTGGTTCATTTTGTGTGCAGATATAACTAACCCAAATTCATCTAACAATACCTTAATCCACCTCATTTTTTGTGCAGGTATTGAGGAAGAGTGGAAAGTTGAAGACTCTTAGGATTGGAAACCTAAGAAGCTAAGGAGCAGAGAAGAGGTTCTGCGCCGGGCTCAATATAACCTGCGCTGGGCGTGACAAAAATAGAGTATTTCATCTCTGCCAGTTATATTAAGCCGGGCGCAAAAGGAATTAAGCCGGGCGCAAAAAGAATTAAGCCGGGCGCAAAAGGAATTGCGCCGGGCTTGTGTTGAGACAGAGAGTGCTTGACTTCTCTGGAAGAACTTGCGCCGGGCGCGAAGAATTGTGCGCCGGGCGCGGAACCCTAATCTGATCTCCCAGGCTCGTATTTGAAGCCATTTTCGGGGATCTTTCTCTCCATTCTCACATTGGGCGCCTCCAGGAGCTGCGGAAGGGATTCCCAGGGCTTGGGATCGTCCGTGTGCGGATCTTTCCTTCGGTTCTTCACTTCCTCTTCCATCTCTATTTTGTATTTGCCCTCTTTATTGAGTGGTTTCACCCATTTTGTGGGGTTAGATGTAACCAACGTACTCTATTGTAATCTTTACGGTTTTAATGATATATATACATGTTGT